TGTTACCTCACCAATGCCAATAAGAGCAGCTTGCCTTTAGGAACCAATAAACTCTGCTTTTATTTGAATAATGGAAAAAATGCACTATCACTAGTGGTAGAAATCCTTCTTCCAAATCTCTGGATATAAAACTGTGGGAACTGAAAACAGCTCAAGGGTTGATCCTAAGTACTACTGTAAAAACTTCATCCTAACAATATATGCAGATACTTAGTTCACTGTTGCAGTATTAAAAAAAAAGTCTGGGAGGGGCAGTGTCAAATTTTTTTTTTTATATTCTTCTTTTCCTCCTTTTCCAAGAGATGTCCACCAGATTGTTCTGTAAAACTACCCACTAAGACAGCTTGAAATATGTGCATCATTTACCTGATAGATCTTAAGGGGGAGCTTGCCATTATGAAATATCACCTACCTAAGCTTTTGCCTAGTTTTAACACTTATGGTTTAGATTGCTATTTTTTGTGAAAATATTATAATCCTCATTAAGGCAGTTACACCCCCATGCCCAAGACAAAACTTTGAAAGATTAATCTCTCAACAATTTTAACATTGCACAGGAATACTTCTGAAGCTTTTTTCACATATACCAAAGCATAGAGGCTTGAAGCCTGAGTAAGGGTTTGGAGGAGACCCTAATTTTGTCAAGCTGCTAGGAATAAATGTGCTTTTATTAATGAAACACTTGTACTTTTAATAACTCAACCTAGATCTCACTTGTAGAGACAGATAAAATTAGCAAAATGACAAATTATCATACCCCTTATACATCTATGAAATAAGAGCTATTTTAAAACAAATTCAGAAGCAGGTATAAAGTGGGACTGATGAAATCTATAACTAATTCAGAGGGCAGTATGCACTGCTGCTGTAGTGAATCACAAAAAGAGATTTATTGCTTATGCACTTTTTAATATATAATCCCCCAAATGCTACAAGAATCACCAGTTCCTTGGGCTGAATTTTAAGAATACACCATCCAGGCAGCGATGAAAATCTCTCGGAAAACAGATATGAGCAGGAAGGTAGTTCAAATGGATTCAATTTGGCAA